TGTCTATATACCAAGGTGTTTTACTGGTGTCTATATATCAAGGTGTTTTACTGGTGTCTCTATACCAAGATGTTTTACTGTTACTGGTGTCTATATACAAAGGTGTTTACTGGTGTCTATATACCAAGGTGTTTTACTTGTGTCTATATACTGGTGTCTATATACCAAGGTGTTTTACTGGTGTCTATATACCAAGGTGTTTACTGGTGTCTATATACCAAGGTGTTTTACTGGTGTCTATATACCAAGGTGTTTTACTGGTGTCTCTATACCAAGGTGTTTACTGGTGTCTATATACCAAGGTGTTTTACTTGTGTCTATATACTGGTGTCTATATACCAAGGTGTTTTACTGGTGTCTATATACCAAGGTGTTTTACTGGTGTCTCTATACCAAGGTGTTTACTGGTGTCTATATACCAAGGTGTTTTACTGGTGTCTATATATCAAGGTGTTTTACTGGTGTCTATATACTGGTGTCTATATACCAAGGTGATTTACTGGTGTCTATATACTGGTGTCTTTATACCAAGGTGTTTTACTGGTGTCTATATACAAAGGTGTTTTACTGGTGTCTATATACAAAGGTGTTTTACTGGTGTCTATATACAAAGGTGTTTTACTGGTGTCTATATACCAAGGTGTTTTACTGGTGTCTATATACAAAGGTGTTTTACTTGTGTCTATATACAAAGGTGTTGTACTGGTGTCTATATACCCAGGTGTTTTACTGGTGTCTATATACCAAGGTGTTTTACTGGTGTCTATAAATCAAGGTGTTTTACTGGTGTCTATATACCAAGGTGTTTTACTGGTGTCTATATACAAAGGTCTTTACTGGTGTCCATATACAAAGGTGTCTATATACCAAGGTGTTTTACTGGTGTCTATATACCAAGGTGTTTTACTGGTGTCTATATACCAAGGTGTTTACTGGTGTCTATATACCAAGGTGTTTTACTGGTGTCTATATACCAAGGTGTTTTACTGGTGTCGTTATAACTATGTCTGTGACATGGTATTTTCGTACAAAGTTATGGTACTGCTGTTTTTATAAGTAGTTTTTCTTACTGCTATCTTGCTCGACAACTGTGCTAGGATCTATACCGAAACGTCGCAATCACAATACAAAAAAGTTGTAATCCATAAAAATACCTTGCCTATATTGTTATTCACCAAATTCCAAAATGCTCTGGTGGGACCATACGGTTGTAACACGCAGGTGGACAACCAAAACACGTTTATCCATACAACTCCGCAGCTCGTGTATGGATGATTGATATATGAAATGGCATGTGATGTGATGTGATGTGACGTGATGGCGTGTGATGTGATGCAATGTGATGTGATGGCGTGTGATGTGATGTGATCGTGTGTGATGTGATGTGACGTGATCGCGAGGGATGTGATGTGACGTGACGTGACGGCGTGTGATGTGATGGGACGTGACGTGATGGCGTGTGATGTGATGAGACGTGACGTGATGGCGTGTGATGTGACGTGACGTGATGTGATGGCGTGTGATGTGATGTGATGGCGTGTGACGTGACGTGATGGCGTGTGATGTGACATGACGTGACGTGACGTGATGGCGTGTGATGTCATATGACATGACGTGATGGAGTGTGATATGATGTGACGTGACGCGATGGCGTGTGATGTCATGTGATGTGACGTGACGTGATGGCGAGTGATATGATGTAATGTGATGTGACGTGACGTGATGTCATGGCGTGTGATGTGATGTGACGTGATGTCGTGTGATGTCATGTGATGTGACGTGACGTGATGGCGAGTGATGTGAAGTGACGTGATGGCGTGTGATGTGATGTCTCCGATCTCTCTGGGGCTCCTTTTCAATTTAAAAGGAATTATTTGTTTACATCAAAATTATATACATTCAGAGACTAGTCTATTAGCAACAAGTTTACAATTTAATTAAAAGTTCGCTCCAATGGAAACCCTTCGTCTATCAATATCACACGAGTGCTTTTTGGGTTTCATCGATAAGGTGGGTCAGTTCGACGGTCACTCATCAAGCTGACAAGAGTTGCGCTAACTGATACTGGTTGGATTCAGTGGTCACTTGGGTCCTAGCAAGGGTCCCCAGTTCATAGAAACACGGGTGGTGTGAATTTCAGCACGGCATGTTAATGCTGATCCCTATATTGTTTAGTTTGTGTTATTGGGGGAGATTGTTATTTGTATTCGAATCAGGTATCGCATTAAAAGACATTAACTTGTCTCCAGATCACAGAAATACTCTCACATCACTCCTGTTCTGCAGAGATTACACTGGCTTCCCATATCAGACAGAATCCAATACAAACTCAACCTTCTTGTTTTCAAGTGGCTCAATAACCTAGCTCCAAATTATCTATCTGACCTGATCACCAGATATCAGCCCCACCGTAGTCTCCGATCTGAAAAGCTTGCCAATGGTCTTCTTATTGTCCCACGCTTTATGTCCAGCACCAGGTTTGGGGATCGATCATATCAGGTGGCAGCACCCACTCTCTGGAATCATCTTCCACTGGAGCTGAGGACAATTAACAACCTGAAGATTTTCAAATCCAAACTGAAGACATACCTTTTTAAGAAAACATACAGTGTCTAACTTTTCTTTCTTGAGCTGTTCGGAGAGCGCTACTGAGCAGTACTTTTGGACTGGAATTGGCGCTATATAAATGTTTTCATGATGATGATGATGAATGACCTCTACTAATGGATGACTGAATGCCATCTCATTGTGCCAATAGTTATATGAAAATACTTGCTGGGCCGTTGGTTATTGGGATATTGAGACAATGGCTCGAGCAGGGTGGAGGAACCCGTTTGTAAATATCGCTGAGGAGAGACGTATATAAAACAGAGACGAGAAAACACCATTAGCCTTGAGGTCAATGAACAAATCAGTTACACTACTCAGGAGCGCTCACAAAAGGACCAGGCTCGACTCTCCTCATGGGTACAATGTGTCAAGGCCATTTTGGGTGTCCCTGCCGTGATATTGTTGGAATTTTATTAAAAGCGACATAAAAACCATATTCACTCACTCATTTACTCACTATGGAATCTTACCGTGAAGGTCCGGGTTAGAATATTGATCTTCAGTAACCCATGCTTGTCGTAAGAGGCGACTAACGGGATCGGGTAGAATATTGGTCTTCAGTAACCCATGCTTGTCGTAAGAGGCGACTAACGGGATCGGGTAGAATATTGATCTTCAGTAACCCATGCTTGTCGTAAGAGGCGACTAACAGGTAGAATATTGGACCCATGCTTGTCGTAGGGTAGAATATTGATCTTCAGTAACCCATGCTTGTCGTAAGAGGCGACTAACGGGATCGGGTAGAATATTGGTCTTCAGTAACCCATGCTTGTCGTAAGAGGCGACTAACGGGATCGGGTAGAATATTGGTCTTCAGTAACCCATGCTTGTCGTAAGAGGCGACTAACGGGATCGGGTAGAATATTGGTGTTCAGTAACCCATGCTTGTCGTAAGAGGCGACTAACGGGATCGGGTAGAATATTGGTCTTCAGTAACCCATGCTTGTCGTAAGAGGCGACTAACGGGATCGGGTAGAATATTGATCTTCAGTAACCCATGCTTGTCGTAAGAGGCGACTAACGGGATCGGGTAGAATATTGGTCTTCAGTAACCCATGCTTGTCGTAAGAGGCGACTAACGGGATCAGGTGGTCAGGCTCGCTAACTTGGTTGACACATGTCCTCGGTTCCCAATTACGCAGATCGATGCTCATGCTGTTGATCTCTGGATTGTCTGGTCCAGACTCGATTATTTACAGACCGCCGCCATATAGCTGGAACATTACTCACTGCGGCGTAACACTAGACTCACTCACTCATTATGGAATCTAATAACCACACACATATTTATGTAGTTTAGTGGGGTCAGTGGTTCAGAGAAGGAGAGACCCTTCACCAAAATGTTGAGAGAGTTGTTCAGAGAGAGAGAGAGAGAGAGAGATATATGACTGTAGAGAGAGAGAGAGAGACGAGAGAGAGTGTTCGGAGAGGGAGAGAGAGAAGCAGATAGAGCTTTGGAGATGAAGGAGACCAAGATGTTCCGAGAGAGAGAGAGAGAGAGAGAGAGAGAGAGAGAGAGGAGGGAGGAGAGAGGAGAGGGAGAGAGAGGAGAGAGAGAGAGAGAGAGAGAGAGAGAGAGGGAGAGAGGGAGAGGGAGAGAGAGAGAGAGAGAGAGAGAGAGAGAGAGGGAGGGAGAGAGGAGAGGAGAGAGAGAGAGGAGAGGAGAGAGGAGAGAGAGAGAGAGAGAGAGAGAGAGAGAGAGAGAGAGAGAGAGAGAGAGAGAGAGAGAGAGAGAGAGAGAGAGAGAGAGAGAGAGAGAGAGAGAGAGAGAGAGAGACACGCTGGATGGGTAGCCTAGTTAAAGCTAGTACTTGTCAAGCCAATATGAATGCCACTTTCTAGTGTCCCCTTGCAGTGATATTGCTGGAATATTGAAAAAATTATTGCCTCAAATTACAGGTCCGGTCAGAATCAGGTACAACGTTGGTCCATTACATGTAACATTCTATCCTCACAAAGCAAATAAAACGGTTGAGTGATACCCTGGCATCCACTCATGTGCCCCTGTAGCTCTGTACGACAGAACAGAGCTCACTCCGGTAACCAGTTATATCGAGCATAACTTGTAGGAATATCCAAGGCTTCGTGTTTGTGTAAGTGACGTAGGGTGTAACAAAAATATTAATATTCTCTTGACCCTGTTTGAACTTTCTCTGACAACACACGAATAACAAATACACTCTTTGTACAGTCTCGTCCATTGCGGCCAAGTCTGTGTAAGTGTGTGTACAAATAAACAATCCAGTGGCCAGAGAGGCATAACGACGACCAGAGAAAACTCAATGTCTTTCAATATAGTTTTATGTACTAGTTGTTTTCATGTGTAGTCTCGTAGGCCAACACTCGGGACATTGAAACATGCAACATGTTCATCATGTTCATCAACGTCATCAACGTTCATCAACGTCACCTTCTCCTCCTTCACGTGTCTGTGTCAGATCTATCTGTGTGAGATCTATCTGTGTGAGATCTATCTGTGTGAGATCTATCTGTGTCAGATCTATCTGTGTGAGCTCTATCTGTGTCAGATCTACCTGTGTGAGATCTATCTGTGTGAGATATATCTGTGTGAGATCTATCTGTGTCAGATCTGTCTGTGTCAGATCTGTCTGTGTCAGATCTATCTGTGTCAGATCTATCTCTGTCAGATCTATTTGTGTGAGATCTATCTGTGTGAGATCTATCTGTGTGAGAACTGTCTGTGTCAGATCTATCTGTGTCAGATCTGTCTGTGTCAGATCTATCTGTGTCAGATCTGTGTCAGATCTATCTGTGTCAGATCTATCCGTGTGAGGCTCAGACATGATATTGTACTCCTTGTACGACAATCACGGACATTGACTGAAACACAACAATCTGTTCCTCGCCCTACACCATCAACCATATAAAACTATGAACAAATATGAAGATATGGTTAACTATTGCATGATGATTACAATAATTTGGTTGGTCTCAGGATTTATATTCAATTAAGAAGAAAACAAAGTGACAAAACCCTTCCCACCTCCATGAAAAATCTAAAAGCAGACTCGACTTGACAATTCTCCCAATCATGACCCGCACCCGCGTGACCATTCGAATGTGGAATTGGGGCTCCGTAACCTTAGATGTTAAATATGGGAGTCGGGTATATAGGCTATGAAACAGCAGCATATGAGAAACCTAAACGGTTTGAGAGACTCGTTCTTCCTCGCGAGTAGACATACATGATAGGGTCCATTACCCTGTACATATGTGTAACCAGTTTTCTTTTAGACTTGCTTTCAGCAACTAAATTGAACAATAAAGTGATGGGAAGGGGGTTGGTGTCGGGAAGGGGTTTGGGGTCGGGAAGGGGTTGGTGTCGGGAAGGGGGTTGGTGTCGGGAAGGGGGTTGGTGTCGGGAAGGGGGTTGGTTTCGGGTAGGGTTGGTTTAGTTAGACTATACTCATGTTTCTATTCTTGAATTTTATGGGCCGAGATATAAATTTTTCAGAAAGGGTGTTTAAAATTCAGCCTGTGGAAAGGCTGTTAAAATTGCTTCACTGGACCATAATAACTTGACTGACGTAGCTGTTTTTAAAACATCCTCGATAATCTCCAGGGTATACGTTACGATCACTCTCCACTATATACCCTGGAGATTATCGAGCATGCTTTTAAAACACATAAGTAAATTTGATATGTCAAGGCATATTTTTTGCTGAGATATCAGGACGTGGCATTGAGAATATTCATACCCGGGATCATGTGTTGTTTACGTCCACAGGTGTCTTGTCGGGTGAGTTAGCAAACAGTCCGCGAGACAGATATTTAATCAGGGTATCTAGCTGCGTAATTCATTCTGTAACAGACACATATGATATATACTGCTGTGCAGAATCTCCTGGCGAGATCGGTCAAATGAACACGGGACTGTCTCTTATGGGGATCTAAACCCTGCGATACTTACACCGTTTACACAACTTATAGTTCAGTTGGTATGCTAATATAAGTCGTGCGGACAGTTTAGCTGATTTAATGAACCCCTGGGGACAGATATCTACACGATAGATCAAGCATGAGTGTTATATAATTACACGTGGACGTACAGGTGTTTGGACAATGCGCTGTTCACGTAGTATTCATTTTGCCACAGGTGATATGCATGCAAATGCAGATATATACATAGCTACCTTCCGAGTATACTATCTATGATATCACCTGACAATATTATACTCCTTGCTATCAAAGTGGGTGAGAATGCTGTCTCTATAGCCCAGCGCCCCTGGGGTTCGACCAGTCACAGTGATGCCACCCCACACTTTAACCTGCCCACCGTCACGTGATACATTTCGCCTGGTATCAAATAGGGCTATATAGCCCGCATGAATCGCACATGCATACGCACATACGCACACGCACGTCGATATTAAGTTGGTTGGTTGGTTGTTTAGTTGTTTAATGCCGCACTCGACAATGTTCCAACTACATTAGGGCGGTCAGTAGATCGAGTCTGGAACAGACAATCAAGTGGTCAGTATCATGAGCGTCGAATCTACACAATTTGGGTACGGTAACATGTGTCAACCAAGTCAGCGAGTTTGACCACCTAATCCCATCAGACGCTTCTTACAACAAGCATGGGTTGCTGAAGATCAGTTCTGACCAGGATCTTCACGGGTGGATATTAAGTGAAATATTACTGAGATGGACGTTAAGCTCCATTTCACCTCACCTCACCTCACCTCACCTACTTCTTCTCACCTAACTTGACCTCCCCTCACCTACCTCACCTCACCTCACCTACTTCTCACCTCACCTCACCTACTTCACCTCACCTCACCTACTTCTTCTCACCTAACTTCACCTCCCCTCCCCTACTTCACCTCACCTCACCTCACCCCAACTCAACTCAATTCAACTCAGCGTCACTCAACTCACCTCCCCTCACCTCCCCTACTTCACCTCAACTCAACTCAACTCAGCGTCACTCAACTCACCTCATCTCACCTCACCTCAACCCAACCCAACCCAACTCAACTCAACTCAACTCAGCGTCACTCAACTCACCTCACCTCACCTCACCACCCCTACTTCACCTCACCTTAACTCAACTCAACTCACCTCACCCCACCTCAACCAACTCAACTCACCTCAGCCTAACTCACCTCAACTCAGCTCAACGTTCCTCACCTCATATCTCAACTCAACTCAACTCAACTCACCTCAACGTAACTCAACTCGGCTCATATCAAACGCGCCTCAATACCTCAGTGTGCCAATTAGGAATAACAAGGCGAGCTATGGGAAGCCATGTTTAATCCAACTGAACCAGGGACATATTTGTTGTTGTGAGCGATGTCTTTGGGATCAAAGTCATGCTGGGTATTGTAAAGAATTTGATTTATGGCTTTTGAAAGATGATGTATTAATGTAATCAAAACCAATAAGAATGACTCACTACCCCTAAACTACCACGCACTGTGCACAAGCACAACTGATCGAGGTCGCATCAACAGCTCAGCACCCCTTGATTGATATGCATCTACAAAAAACATTTCGTATTTTCTCATGAACCCAACAGATGAGTAACACCAGGGTACAGACACCATGGCTCCGACTGACTGAGTTGGGTTTTACGCCGCTTTTAGCAATATTCCAGCAACATCACGGCGGGGGACACCAGAAATGGGCTTCACACATTGTACCCATGTGGGGATTCGAACCTGGGTCTTCGGCGTGACGAGTGAACGCTTTAACCACTAGGCTATCCCACCGCCCACAGACACCATGAATAGGCTTCACACATTGTATCCATGAGGGAATCGAGCACGTATTTTCAGCATGACGAGCGAAAGCTTTACCAACTAGACTACCCATCCGATGGGAATTTCCCAGAGCTTCCAACTCCAAGAGAGGTAACAATATGAGAAGCCGGGTTCCAAGGGCGGCTCTTCCCGCCCGGGCCCTGAAGCCCCCGTGAAGCCAGCGTGTGTTTGAAAATTCTTTTCTCAGAGAAGTCAATGAGAACGATGTATTCAGACCTATTTGTGTGATTTTAACTGATTCTTCTTTGTATTTTGTATATGAACCTAGTTTGGCTTGAGTGCGTGACGTGAGTAATAAAACCGTGAGTTTCAAGCCATATGCATGAGATTTGGCCGCTATGAATTCTGGAGAATGTTTACAGATTCCTTTGAATTTTTTCGGAAAAATAAAAGATGCATTGTGTTGAAACACAGTCATCAGGATGTGGTCTGTGCGTGTCAGTGCAAGCATCCGGGATCGCCATGTAAAGCAGAATTCTTGTCGCTGCGCATATATTTGTAAACTCAATACAAACTTACAAAATATATTCGAGTACATGTGTAGTTCTCCCATAGAGTGAATGAGTTTTGAGCTTCATACATTGTACCCATGTTGGGAATCGAACCCGGGCCTTCGGCGTGAGGAGCGAACACTTTAACCACTATAGGGGTTCCCTAACCGCCCCTTTCCCGTTCCGACTGATGAAATCTTTGTGATTTCAACATATTTTTCATGATTATGAAAATGACTTAAAAATTAATATACGAAACTTGTTGAACCAGTTATGTTTAACATTGTGTGCATAATAGGAATTCTAAATGACTACTTCATGCGCACAAACGTTCGTATTTTCATTTAAATCCACTGATTTTTTCGTAAATTTTCGGGTTATTCTTCATCGTTGATTTTTAAATTGCTACAAAGGTTATTTACGGGCATCGAATTTAGCTATTTGCAAATGCCATGTAAATAGTGAAAGGACAATTCAGACATTGTCAGTTCATCTCATTATACCTATATGTGTGGAATGTATGAAGTCAGTGTATCATAGTGTATCTTTCGAGCCGACATTAGTTCGAAGGTTGATGCTCGACGCCACGCTGAGACAATCAAGATATTTTATTGGGTTGCACAGACGCTTGCAGCATATGGGCCAGGGTGCAGCCTCAGGGCGATTCATGGGTAAATTCAAGCGGTTATACCACGAGATATATTTACAAACACGTGATTAGGTACAATATATATGTATATGTATCAGAACAATATTTATTCTACTGACAAAAGAAAATTAAATAAGAAAAAGTATCTTAACATTTTAACTGAATCTGTGGAGAAACTGAACGTGTAGCAGTAAGTGTGGTTGTACGGCTCCCTCATTCTATTCATTAGTGTCTCTGACACACGTTTAACTACAGTTGCCTCAAACTTTGTATTATGAAACTGGCTGTCTGTTTGTAAGTTCTCGACAATAACATAGAGATTTTACATTTCACCAAATGTCAATACACATGTGCAGACACCGAGGTACAGTCCACATTCATAACAACCCCGCTAAAACGAACTGACGGATAAAATGGACTGTTTTGGGGTCCCGGCAATTGGCAACTGTTTTAGTCGAATTGATCATAACGAACTGAAGTTAGTGGTCCTCTTGAGTTCGTTACAACCGTAGTTCAGAGTATATCTTCACGTCTTTAAATGCAGGGGCGGTGGCCTAATGGTTAAAGCGCCCGCTCGGCACTCCGAACACAGGGGCGGTGGCCTAATGGTTAAAGCGCCCGCTCGTCACTCCGAACACAGGGGCGGATACAGCGTTCTGAGAAAGTGGTGGTGGTGGTGGTGGTGTGTGTGTGTGTGTGTGCGTGCGCGCGCGCGTGCGTGCGTGCGTGTGCGCGTGCGTGCGTGCGTGCGTGAATGTCACACTTCATTTTCACGCGGGTTTCAATGGTCATTTAATAAACATTCATGACAAAAAGGGGGGGTGGGGTGGCTGCGCACTTCAGTATCAGGCTCGCTGACATGGTTGCGTAGATCA